TTAATAAAATATAACCTTATTTTAAAATAATATTTCATATTTATGGGCCTAGGTAGGCTACATATATTTAACTATATAAATAATTTTAATTGAAAAATAATATGTCATATTTTTATATTATAAAATAAGTTGCAAAATGAAAACTCAAATCCTAGGCCTATAGTCACCGGTCACAGAGGCTTATGCAAAGAATCACAACGCGGCGTCTTCCGCGTGATCCAGGCCTCTGACAGTACCAACCGACCCGTACACGGTGTACTGCCATAGCTAGTTTTAAATGGAGTTGCGTCAACTCGTACCAACTGGGAGACAACATTACTAACTCATCACGGCGGTTCCAATATAGACAAACAATACTGCGCCCCCAGTTGTTCATTATTAGATAATTTCGTAGTGAGGGCGCTATTGCACAAACACGGAAGTGATAATTTTTATTCTGCATGACGTAGGGGTAATTAAATGACCAACCAGCAGCCTTAGACGTTAGAAAAATAATGAATATTCATGATATTATCGAAGAAGAGATGCTGAACAGTTGAAAAACACGAAGCAGTCACGATGGTCATGCTTCCCTAGTTGTGTGTGAGTATGTGAATTTTTACGATTTTTCAACCAAAATCCTGGGAAAATTCAACATTTCCTGATTTTAGTGAGACAATAATTTTTTTTTGCAATTTTTGTGAACATGGCCACATAGTTCATGTGATTCCCCGTGAACTTGAGAACAAATATTAAAAAAATCTCTCTGACAACTGTTTTGGTTAGGATTTAATTTGGGTTTAAACCTAGCCGCATCCGGACTCTCGCAAACACGTGTATATGTGCTAGGGTGGCCTAGCATATTGTCATGTTCACAGCTTGTAATGATTAACACAGTAACAGGCATGCATAATATGGTTATTAATTTAATTCAACTGCTCTTTCATTAATAATAATACTCTGAAGTACTGTTCAGTGCAGTATGCTAGCTTAAATTTCATTATAATATGGCCTAGGACCTAGAAGCCTTCCCTATTACCGGCCTACCCAGCCAGGCTAGGCCAAGCCGGCCTCATGTACAGTAGGCTACACAACAAGCCTCTAACTAGGCTTAAAATTATATACAGAGGGCCATGGCCTAAGGTAGCTAGGCCTAGCTATCTCCCCCATTCCCTCCCCCTTACATATATGTTTAAACAAAACTAACTGTTGGTGGAGTATACATTGGGCAAACCCCACCCCCCGCCCTTAAATTAAAAATTGTTTGCTGCATTATTTTTTTTTAACAACAGAAACAATGAAATCTTGTGGCTGGAAATACAATAATTTTTTCTGTGTCCTTAATGTTATTTATATCACATGGGACAACTCAAGGGATGTTATATTACAATATATTTTGTACCAACAATTACAATTTGTTTGTTACAAACAATACATGTATTGTTTGTAACAAATCAAATAAAGCAAAACAGCATAATTTTATTATAAATACTTAACTAATTATGATCATGGGCTATTATTTAATTTTATACAAAAGTTGGTATGTTATCTTGTATTCTTCAATTAATTTTCATTTTTTAGATATCAGTTTAGGCTAATTGCAGCCAAGATTCAACAGTTTGAAGCATACTGCCTTACTTGAAGACGTTTCACAAAGTAGGGAGAAATGGAAATGAATAGTCTGAGAAGTCTACAGAATGATAGTGAAGTAGGTAATGTATATATATTGTTCCTTTATATCAGTGTCACTTACAATGTATTGCAGTTTTATTATGGTAGTCAAATGTAGATTTTTGATTATAAAATTATTATTTTGAAGAATTTCTTAGCACACTTTCATTGAAAAATTCCATTGTTTTTCAGATTTATTCTTCTTTCTCTGAAAGAAAAAATAAATAACACTGTTATGACTCTATATATTCTTATTTTTTCAAAAATATTTCATAAAGAAGTAATAATAAACAGTTATACCTACCAAATTTTCTTCTTTTAGGTTGTGCAATTTTCTGGAGAATGTTGGGCTGGGTTAGCAATGTATGCGAGCACATCATTTAAGTTGTGGAATCACATGCTCTTCAAGCATATGAAGCTTTGATGATATTGTCATTGAATTTCCTGAATTTCTATATTCATCAATAAAGTCTTGTATGGATTCACCTTAAAAAAGGGAAAAAATGTTATAAATGAGAATTCTTTTTTTTTTAAATTTTAATTTAGACCGATAACAAAGCCTGCAAAAGCAACATGAAGACGGACAGCTTAGCAGCAGGTTTATATTTGTAGATGCCAGCAGAAACAAGCCAAAACAAATGGCCGCCTTGGAAACTATAGGATATTAGGTAAGGTAACAATTTAAATACAGTACATACAATAACTTACCAATAACAGTTATTTCCTCATTTGACATTGGCTTTGAATGATTGATGTTATTGTGAACTATTGCAAATTTATTTAGTAGTCGTCCATATTTGCTGACAAGCGAGTTGACTTTTTCTGAAATATAGTGTACCCTTATCACACCCTCGCTCTTATGGTAAATGTAAATTTAATTTTTTTATTATTAACTGTATATTGTTATTAAAAAAAATTAAAAATATACCTGACAGCATTTGTGCACATGGTTCCCGATAAAAGATCGGCCATGATATGCTTGTCTCTCTATTTTGTGCTTTTGTAGAACTTTCTCTATGGACACTGCTAATGGCCCAGTGCCAAATGGTAATCCCTCATTCATGGCTTTTGTCTGTTAGGAAGATAAGACAATACAGAATAAAAACTTATTTTAGTTTTGTGATTTTTTTTACATTAACATCATTATCCTCATTTTATCTTCATTTGCTTGTTTATTTAAATTTAACTAAACTTGAATTATATTTGAATGCTGTGTTCTCACCAATGTTTCAATTTCCTCTCTTAATTTGACAATCTTGTCCATGTTTTGAAAGATTAGTCCATTAGATTGCAGATAAATGAGAGGCATTTCTTCTTCTGCTTCTGCCAGCTTCTGTTCTTTCTTCAATTTTGTTTTTGCATTCTAATTGTGTTTTGATGTTGTTTTGGATAAGCTTTTCGAAGACAGAGCTTCCAAACTCGTCATCCTCGTCTGAGGTTTTTTTCTGCATTCATACATATGACAGTCTATTTCATGAGCTTCGGACTCATACATGTCGAACAGCTTTTTAAAGACGCCCAAAGAAATGTGCAGACTTGGCACAGATACCTATAACACCATAAATAAATAGGATATTTATAATCTTTTTTTTTTTTCACAGCCCAATACAGTAGTAATACAGTTGATGATTTACTTTCATATTAAATTGTGGTAAGTTGAATTTATTAATCTTTAATAATCAAAAAGCAGACATACAATAATAACTAGGATTGATAATTTACTTACATGGTCTACTTCAATTGCAACAAGAGGATTGCTAATGACACTCATTGATACACTCTTGGCTGTGGTTTTGTCAGCACCATTGTCTAAAAAGACCTGATAGCATTCTTCTATGGAACTAAGTGTTCTTGGTTTCCCAACTGGGCTTCTTATTTGCATTTCCTGTTTTGTTTTTTCACAGAAAAGGCAACAATGCCGAGCTACAATGTAAATAATATTGATAAAATAGAATTTATTAAAACAGATAGCAAACCACGAAACCTAAGAAAAATAAATTAAATGCAAGTTTAACAATTGCAATTATAATACATAATATAACATGCTTATTCCTCAGCAAACGTACCATTTGGACCATTGATTCCATATAGTTTTGTGAGGTACTCGTAGTCCCCAAAACCAAATACCCTGATGGTGTAGCCACTGAAATAGAAAAGTGTAAATATTAGTTTATATAATGAAAATCAAAGTTTTCAAATATTTCAAAAAATAATTACAATATAAATACAATGAATGATTGTTACCACCACATCTGTCCATGTAGGGCTACAACCTGGCTAGCGACTCCTGGAAGGGTTTCCTTGATGTTGAACATCGTGTTTGGTGCATCAAAAACCAATACAACAATTATATTGTGTATTGCATTGGGCTTTGCCAGACTGCATATTTGCACCTCAAACTTAGTGCTGCCGGCACCCTTGTCTCCTCCAAATTTTACCCATAGCTCACCCTCATTAGGACATAGATTTCCCAGTCTGTGTACAAAAAATAGAATATGTCATTGACAGAAACAAATACTGTATTATATAATACAGTATTATATTTGCTATCAGATTCTTTTAGTTTTTAATTTTTGATTTATAATTTCTATCCAGGAATTACATATATCCATAAGTATATACAAAAATACATGCACACATACATAGACAAATATAATAGAAATAAATATTTTAATAAAATAATAAAATTACCTTTCATGTTCTTCAAAATATGAAAACACAACATTTTTGATGTTCCTCATTTTTACCATTGGTGCTTTTTTTTTTATTTCAATTTCATCTGGAGAGACCTGTATGATTTAAAACACAGCATTTCCATGGACGATTCAAAATAATCACCTATGAGGTCATCTGTCACTTTCGAAGCTGCCTTTCTGAAGAAATTACTCCTTTCTCCATGTACCTGCCAAGTGTAAAAAAATCGTAATGCTATCAAAAATAAACAAAAGTAATATTTTTCAGTGTAAAAAAGGTACAGTATTTATTGTTTTCTTTTCGCTTACCTTCTCGGCTTTCTCAGTTGCTGCCAAGCAAGATGACCGTCAGATACCATGGCCAATGAAGTGTCTACATCCAACCTGTATTTTCCAGATAAGTTCGCGGCTTTCATAACAGCTGGGCTCATATGTTTTGCTGTGTATACCTGTTGATGGAAAGCTCCAGCTTCGCCATTCCCATTGCTGACAGTTTCGTTCAGTGTTCTTAGCTTGGATGCTTGCCTTGCTAGTGTTTTTGCTGAAGCTACATCGCTAGAAACTTTACAGTTTGGGATGATGGCAACTTTAGTTGGCTGTGTAGAAAATTACATTTTCATGTGAAACTGTGTGATGGTTTTGTCATTTATTATATATTTTGAAAAATGGATTATACAAAATAGTAATGCAATTACCCGTCCATTGGTGGAAATCAGCATCTCCTTGTTTTTCTTCAGACTGTCATAAACAATCTTTTCTGCAAAGGTCTGGATTTTCTGAGGAACATGTTGGTGTTTTTTTAAAGTTTCCTCCAACACAGACTGCATTGCAGGCATCAGAGAATGCTTGCTCTCGCTCAGTTCGTTTTTTGCTGCAAACATGTGCTCTACTATCAGTGTACGATACACTGTTGTCGCAACTTGTACATTTAAGTTGTAATGATCTTAATGACTCTACAAGGATTTGTGATGCTGAATTGAAATCATGCACTGACATTGGATAAGTACACACAAGACAAGAACATTTATTAACACGAAGTGTATTAAATAATTTTGTCAAACAAACCCAGCAATAATGATGTGCGCACTTTGATACTAAATTGTCTAGTGATAAAATGCAGCTACATATTGTACACATATAATTTTCAGGATTTATCTGATTGTGTACTATGAATTTTGAATCAATTGTGTTATTGCTTACTTTCAGAAATAATTCATTTAATTTCACTGTGATTTTCTTTCCTGGTTTGCTTTGTTCAGTAAATAAATAGCATGTGAAACATAATTGCTTGTGGTGTGTACATTTGTAATTTGAAAGTATAGAGGGATGATTGTGATAACTTAGTACCTTAGTATTTTTACAGATAAATTTTGGGTGAATGTCTTTATTTTCAAGCGAGAGATCAATATTAAGAAATCTAAGTATACTATTTTTTATTTTAGAAACTTCAAATTTTCTTGTATTTCTTGATATATTTTTACCACAAAGACGACAAATATTATCCAATGCAAGGCTATGAGAATCCATTATCAGTAGAGAAGTAACTATTACATTATACAATTTTATTTTATTAGCAATGTAAAAAAGACAAAGTACAGACAATACACAACTTATCCAAATATATTGATACAGTACAATGAAATCTCTATGCCTCTAGGCTGGTCGATTTACTGCAGGCCTAGTCTATAATGTATATCGCATCACATAAACACTGCTAGATGAGCGGAAATAGTAGCCTTTTTTATACGAAAATTTTAAAAATCAAAAGAAGTTGTCAGGCCAATGCTAGAACAGACTCTGCTTGTTCATTTACAACCGTTGTCACCTCCCAGGAAAATTGACGATAACGAAGTCAAACTTTAGCGCTACAGCAAAATATAGATTGAGGGCGCTGTTTTTTACTTTTTTCGCTGATGACTCGCCTAACTTCTCTCGCTAAAATTCATCATTTTGAAACAGATTTATGCACTGCACGTATAATGTATGTTAGCTGATATATTAATCAAATGTGGATTTTAGGAATATTTTATTCGTAAGTGTATTTGGGAAAAATTCTACTACATAACACATATTCAGTCACCGAAACATAGCAGCTCGTCTCGCTCGCGAACTCAGAATCCGATGCGATTTGTTTGTTGGGGGCTTACGGTGCGTAAATATATGAAAAGCGTGTTGTAAACACTTACTGTCCCAATATAGTGCGTATGAAACCGCCGTGTCATTTTTAGCTCAATTTTTCGATTTACGGTGCTTAATTTTAGTTAGCTTCACACCTTATACCCTAAAAATACGTTTAAACGTACTTACGTCATTCTTTAAATTAAAGGGGAAGTGCTGGGATGAGACAAGTGGCCATATATTGCTTATTTAACCTTTCCTGAGTTCGGGAAAAATACTTAAAAAATTCAAAACGTTGAGATGTAACGATAATTAGAGAAACAAAACATGATGTGATGAGACGGGAAAATCAGGTGAAAACGAGGCTGATCACTTTTTTCAGTAGCTTGGTAGCAATTTCTAACCAACTCATTAATATTCAAGACCAGTCTGTCAATTTTGGCGAGCAGCTGATCGAAAAATCGTCCCGACGATCCAGAACTAGCCTAAAAACAGTAGTGTGAAGTTAACAGAGAGACGGTTTAGTCAACGTCAATTCAATCATGGAGGAATAATTCAATTGAATTAATAAACGTATATCAGTCAGATGACTTGTTTGTTTATAATTAGGCCTATGCCTAGGATTAGCACACTCCTAGACCAGGACACCGCTCCAGTCCCGCAGCAGGTGAGTTCGCACGAAGCCTTATCCAGCTGACAGTAAAGTTACACAGTACAGTAGTAGGTTTCTACTACTAGCCTAGAATTGTCATGCCATGTCGACTTTGTCACATTATTTAATTTTTTCATAATAGGCCTAGGCCCCTAATAGGGCCTACTAATAATATTATAAGGCCTAGTTTATAGGCCTGGTCCTATGAAAAACTGTCTAGGCCTAGGCCTAAATGTCTAAAAACTGCACTGTCTAAATAAAGGTGATGTGTTATAACACTACAGTATATCATCAGAGCCAACACCAATTCCTGTAACAATAAGATTATTATTGATATACTGTAGGCCTAGAAGCTAGGCTACACACAATAATGCCCCATTAAATAATAACATGGTGCATATGTTACTCCAAACCTAACTTTCAGCTGTTGTTGAAATGTGGAATTCAAATAAAATATATACAGTATATATATTTTTTTGTAGGACAAGATATGGTATGTGATATGCCGAAACATAACACTCTGGCCACATAGGTATTTGCCAGTCGCCATGATGAGACAAACATACCACAACATTTGCCATGAGATACAACCACCCAACATTGGCATCTACGAAAGAAGGTGGTACAAAGCATGCAAGCACCCAAGACGTTAGCAAGAAACACGTTCTGGTTGTTTGCTGAAACTTGTAATGAAAGCTACACACAATTTAAGGTGAGCAAAAGAAAAGTGAATATCTCATCACTGTTCAGCCAGAGTACATGAAACAAATATATTGGAATGGTAAAAAATATCAGCATGGTGTGTCAGTTTTATTAAGAATCAACAATAATACATGACACACTAGCAGACAGGAAGGCTTCAATCAAGTAATTAAAAAATCTGAAAATACTGTCAATTGATTAATGTCTTTCCAGATTAGTATATACAGTATCTCAGTATGGTATGTTATTGATAAAGCAGCAAATGCCAATGTTTGATAACATTTTTGATTTTTAACAAACCTGGTTTTGCATTATTGTAACTAAAGTATACTTATTTCTCGATAGGAGCAAATGACAGGTTCAAATGGATGTGATGCAAACAGTTCCATCTGTGTGGACATGTCCAATCCGTGGTTAGCAGAAGGTGGCGATGCTCAGAGCTCTGCAGCAAGTGATTGAGCCCAAAATATTTCAAAAGAAGATATACTGAAATGCCACATACTTAAGTTTTTGTATTTTGTGCATCTGGTTTATATTGCATGCCAAATTTATAATAAATAAATAAATACTGTACCAGTATTACTGTACCTGTTTCATTTGCAAAATATCTTTAATATTATTAAATAATAATAGTGTAGTTTTATACAGTATAGCGTACAAATCCATCTAATGTAAGATGCTCAGGGCGCTTGAAATGTGGACTAGGAACCCGATCAATGACTTTCTTTGCCCCTAAGTGTCCCTTTGTGTCTGTGCTACCCAGTAACCCGGTACAAGCAACTATCGTCGTCTACTACCAAAATGGTATAATCCCATTCAATAATGCGAAGTTGATAGTACAGTATGAAAATGTGGCTCAATATATACAGGAACAACTATTTTAATGTATGGCTTTGTACAGTCTTGTGTAAAGTTATTCTATGAAACTGCTTATTTTTTAATTCCTGGACTTATGCCTATGTCTGCATGCTGATCAATTTGGTATTGGAATTGAAGAGAAAGCTTCAATTTTTTTTGTTGCACACCATTTTTTGTTTAGTATTTTAAAATATATAGTTGAACTTACCTATGT